AAACAGCCCCCGTGAAATTTATTTGATTGACGAGTTTTATAGCTTACAATTAAGTCAAATCAATTGTTTTGCAAATGAACTAAATAAGATATTAGACTTAATTTTCGTTTCTAGTGAACTAAAGTATAATATTTACAAGTCTGAATATCCGATATCACCTACGGATAGACATCATACCCCTGTTATTGTGGAGCTTCAGTTTTATGAATTTGCTAAGTCATGCCCATGGATTGGAATTTTAATCGATGCGATTTTTCCCACATCAATAACCTCATTTCTGGTCTTGATTGGGTAACATCTTTTGGGTGTCATCATCTTGCTGAATGTTTTATATTTTCATATCAAAAATTATGCAAATATGTGCTGAAAATATTCCTTTCCTTCCGAAAAGGATTCATAAATTACCTTGGTGTAATAGAAGATTAAAAAACCTTAAAAACTTGCGTAATAAGTATTTCAAATTGTTTAAAAGTACGGGTGTTTGGCAATACAGAGTTCTCCACGAGAAATACCTGTCGGATTTCAATTGCTTGGATAAGTTTATAAAAACTACTTACTTGGTTTTGAACATAATTTTAAATCGAATCCAAAAGCGTTTTGGAATTTTATTAACTCGAAACGTTCTTCTTCGCATATTCCGTCGTGTATGTCTTTCAATGGGATGACGTCTAAATCACCCTTTGAGACCGCTAACTTGTTTGCTAGCTTTTTCATGTCAAATTTTGTTTGTGATCTCTCATCGTCTGGGGAATTAGGCGATATTGGGATTTCTCCCTCGTTGGATTTTGGAGGTTTGGAATCATCCGAGAAGGACGTATCTTGCTCGATTAATGAGCTTAGTAATTCGAAGCAGGCTGATGCTCATGGAATTTCTGCATTTTTCCTCAAACAATGCATTACTTCAATCGCTGAACCACTTACACTTTTGTTTAACATGTCTCTCAAACCGGGCATTTTTTGGATGAATGGAAATTAGCTTTTGTTACTCCTGTTTTTAAAGCAGGTGATAAATGCCAAATTTCCAACTACATACCTATTTTTAAACTCACTAACTTTGCTAAATTTTTTGAAAAAGCTGTTAGTACTAAAATGACCTTTGCAATTAAGCCGTTTATATCTATTTCCCAACATGGTTCTATCCCTGGACGCTCAACTGTTACCAACCTAGCAATATTCTCAAATTACTGCATTTCTTCTTTTGTCGATGGATGCCAGGTTGATACTATATACACCGATATATCGAAAGCATTTGATAGAGTTTGTCATAGGTTATTATTGTGTAAGTTACGCTGTTTTGGCTTTCACTTCAAGTTTCTGGATTGGCTCAAATCCTATCTAGTCAACAGGGTCAACTTTGTATCAGTGGATAGTGTAAAGTCTCATGCATATGTTACTACTTCGTTCGTTCCCCAAGGCACCATATTAAGTCCATTACTTTTCTTAATTTTTATTAATGATGCCAGTGCTTGTTTCAAACAATGTAATCACCTCTTATATGCGGATGATTTGAAAATTTTTAAATATGTAAAAACTAACTCTGATATACAGCCCATTCAAAATGAGTTAGATAGCTTCTGCAACAGGGGTAAGCGAAAAAGCTAGAACTCAATATTAATAAGTGCTGTTTTGTGAGGTATTACAAAATACGTTCACCTCTGCAGTCGTCGTATCATATTTCAGACTCCGCTATAAGCTCCTATAATAAAATTAAAGATCTTGGGGTGGTGTTTGACTCGGGCTTCACGTTTATTGAGCACCTAAACTACATTTATCCCAAGGCATACTCGTCACTGGCTTTCATAAAGAGGAATAGCTCTGAATTTAAAAATCGCTATACTAAAAAAATTGTATACAATGCTTTCGTGAGATCGAAACTGGAGTATGCGTCTGTAATTTGGAATCCTTATTTTGATACGCACTCAAAAAGAGTAGAGCGTGTACAAAAGAGTTTTCTAAAATTTGCGTTATGCCAGTTGAAGCTTGATTTGCCAATACCGCCATATATTTCTCACTGTAAGTTAATTGATATGCATACTCTAGCAGGAAGAAGGACTATTTCTGGGCTCATGTTTGTACATGCCATTCTTAATGGTAGTATTGACTGTCCTGTATTACTACAAGCTATACAACTGAATACTGCTGTTCGATCTTTAAGGTATTTCGATATTTTCTCAATAGAATTCTATAAAACCAAATATTCGCAAAATGAGCCTATTTCTAGGATGCTAAGTGAACTCAATGCTTTAATGAATAGAAGTAGAGTTATTGATGTTTTCTCCAGTCGCTTTTCTTTTAAGTTGGCCTTGAGGTCAAATTATATTTAGTCCTAAGTTTAATGTTATCTAGTCTGTAACGTTCTGTAAAACCATAAGACTTTCTTTAGGGCGACCATGCTTCGTCGGACCCGGAGCGAAGCGTGAGCTATTTTAGCCGGCAGTTCATACTGCATCCTCCGGGGGACAAAGCCAAGCGTCGAGTGACCAGAAGGCTACACAAACTGCCAACAAGTTGTACCCCCCTTGCTTTCAATTGCGGTGAAGTTCATGTGGCCATCGGGAAGGCGAAAGCGTCCAAAGCCATGGGTACCGACGGAATATGCATGTTGATGCTGAAAAATTTGGGTCCTGCGGGAGTAGCGTACCTAACGGAGGTCCTCAATTTGTCAATGGCCACTCTCATCAGGTGGGGAGAGTGGTCCACTGCTCAAACCGGGGAAACCAGCCAACAAAGGAGATTCGTATCGACCGATAACACTCCTTTCCCCGGTAGCGAAGACACTTGAGGCCTGGCTACCTCCGTATTTCATGAACCACCTGACCCCAGCGAAGCATCAGCATGGTTCCCAAAAGTGCACAGTACAACAACAGCACTTAAAGCCATAAACCAGAGGTGGCCAAAACTCACTCAATCATATTTTTCAATTTTGCTAAACGATGAGAGAATGAAGAGAATTAGTCGCTCACGCGTCTGATGCAAACAGTGTTGTCAACGATTTCAAGTTGCAAATTATAAGAAAAGGGGATTTTTTTATTACGTAAATAGTGTGAAAGGTAGAGATTATAAAAGAATTAACCTTTTAATATGGTTTAATTCAATTTCATTGCTGGCTTGGATTTATTATTATAATTAAAATTAAAATTGAAGCAAATAGATGAATTAATTTGTATTAATCTTCTTAGTTTGAATCTAAAGAAAAGGGACTTTTAGCATTATTTTAAATTTATCTTTTTATTTATGTGCACATGTACGTAATAATTTATTAATTCAATATTTGGGAATAAGGGGAAATAGCGCTATAATGGCGCTTAACAAAAAAGTTTGTCCCCCGTGTGATTTCTTTATGACAAACCAAACATTGTGCCCTCCCTTCCCATTACTAGTGAGTCAAAAATCTACATCCGAATCCATACTAAATAGTGATGTGCTGAGTCGGTACTTTTAAGTATTGATCGATACTCGGTACCGATTTGGAGAGTATCCAATACTTTCGATACTCGGTACCGAAATATTGGAGTTTATAAGAAGACCCACAAATATGGAATAAAAGCTTTTAAGAGATCGTCGAAGTTTTTATGAATCTCATTAATCTATTGGTTAAGAAGTCTATTTCTCCACATTGTTTAGATCTGAACTCTCTCGTCGCTCGATTAATATCTGCCCTTTTTTTGAAAGTAAAGGTTCGCTTGGAACGGTCGTCGTAACAATAAATAATAATAACATTTTAGCGCTT